TTGTTAAAAGTTACATGCTGTGGCCGTGCTGGAGCATTTCCTGAGCATCAACCCGGTGAGTGAACAGCAATATGAAAGCGGCTTCATGAGACTAATGATGAGCATAGACAACAGACAGAGAATTAAATTTAATTAAATTTATTTAATTAATGCAAAGTTACGTCTTTATTGGGACAGGACTTTACGGATTATCTTACATGACTCCGTGAGTTCGTCTCTATTTATTCGAGCCAAGCTGCATAAACTGCATATCAGGCATTTATGTAATACATCTCATTTGTGCATTAATGGCTGTTATGTTATATAAAGTTTACTAACTACAGTAAATCAAGTACCTGTGCATGCCGTTGTTGTTGTCTTGTTTCCCCTCAGATGCGCTGCAGTGGTGATCCTGCACGCAATTCTCAAAACATCCACAAGATGGCGGCGTTTATCGGTGAATTTGATATTACAAAACCGATATCCAATTATTGTAAAATGCTTAAATATCTGGAAAAATATCGGTAAATTGATATATCAGTCGATCTCTAAACAAAACCCAGATTGCTCCTTCAGGGTTGCTCTTATTTTGCTCATGTTTGGCTGGTTGAGTCCATTACTGTGGGTCTGGGCACAGGCACAGATGTCATCTGCACAGGAGTTTATTTGAGTGTAGGAAAGACAGCGGTTTAGAGGAAAAAGTGTTAACTGAAAAGACTTGCAAATGCTCAGAACATGCATGTGCCGTTTTGCCCTTCCCTCCGTTTGCTCTTTACCCAGAGCGACTAACTCCATTTATGATGTCTCGCCTAGAAAGTGTATTTTTAAATTTGGCTCCGCTGTAAAAACAATTGCATCATTAAGATCATGCAGAAGATGTCGTTATTTCAAGTGCACTTGAGCTATGAACGGGAAAGAAGAGCGGATGTATTGAGCATCTTTGGTGCACATTAATTTAGAGTTTAGCAGTAGGATCCTTTAGAAAGTGGTATTTCTGGTTGGCTGTGTCCGAATACTATCTGAGTTTTGAGGCCATTTGACACATTTATGTTCTTCATAATCGCTGACAGTTTGAATAAATTTTTTTACAATGTGTTTGTGTTGGGCAAAAGCAGAATAAACACACTTTCTCTCTTTTTGCATGGGCTTCATGTGTTGTCTACATTTACTGGTTATAATCAGGCATGGCAGGGGCAGCCTGGGGTCCTTGTAGCTGCTCCCTCCCTCAGCACGGCTGCTGTTCTCACTCTGCCTGGCATTGTATCCCTATGAAAAAACACGATCCTGCCTCTGTTCCCATATCTTTGTCTGTGGGCTGGGGGTGTAGTTAATGTCGACTCATCTGTTTTTTGCACTAATTTGCTAATGGCCAGATGTTCTATTTGCCTAATAAAAGAAACTCTACATTTAATAAGAGCACTCTATATTTAACTAAATCTAAAGCAGATGGGTTACATTATGCTCTTTAGAAACTTCAACTGCTTTAGGATATGATAGATGGCCTGTTTCAGAGGTTATTGAGCGGAGATCATTAGCAGGAGAGAGGTCCTCTGGTTGGTTTGAATTTTGAACTTGATGTCTTAAATGAATCAAAGGTCCTTAGGCCATGTGTCTACCAGCACAAAGCATTTTTAGCCTTTTGAAAACACCTAGTTGTGTGAGCACTTGAGAGCGTTTCTACATTTGCTTTTAAAGAATTGTTCACCCAAAAATTAAAATTTTCTGAAACTGTATTTGCTCACCATTGGATCCTCTGTAGTGAATGGCTGCCGTTATATTGAGAGTTCAAACAGCTGATTTAAAAACATCACAATAATCCACTAGTAATTAACACGACTCCAGTCCTACAATTAATGTAAAAAAGCTGCATGTTTGTAATAAATCTATTACTTGTGGATTATTGTGATGTTTTTAATCAGCTGTTTGAACTCTCGTTCTGACTGCACCCATTTACGGCAGAGGATCCAATGGTGAGCAAGTGATGTAATGTTACATTTCTCAATTTTTACAGATGAACAAATTCATCTACATGTATGACCTAAGGGTGAGCAGATTTAAATTTTTGGGTGAACTATTTCTTTAATTGATAATTTTTCACAATTATTCTCAGCAGATCCTGCTCTTTTGAGGTTTAGAGAGATTTAGATTTTACTTAAGCAGATCAGTAAGTACTAGAGCTCATGGGATGTGGGTAATACGAATGAATCTCACACCTGATTGGCTAGACTTGGGGCACAGGCTTCAGGCGCAGTAGAACTTTAGTCTCTATGAAGCTGTGTAAATGTGTTGTCCACTGACCATGTATTACTTGGCTTCCTCAGCTCGTCTTGCCGGAGTACCTCATCCATGTGTTCTTCTGCGTAATGTTCCTGTGCGCCACAGAATGGCTGACGCTTGGACTCAACATGCCCCTGCTGGCCTATCACATCTGGAGGTGGGTGGGGCTCTCAGCCCTAAATGAATCACAGAGAATATATCAAACACCTCAGCAGATATGTCAAGTTAGTTTCTCTACAGTTAATAAGTGATTAGTCAACATTGTGCCTTGCTCGAAGTACAACGCCAAGTGTTTGTTTGTTTGTGTGCAGGTATATGAGCCGCCCTGTGATGAGTGGACCTGGATTGTATGACCCCACTACAATAATGAACGCAGATATTCTGGCATACTGTCAGAAGGAGGGCTGGTGCAAGCTTGCATTCTACCTCCTCTCATTCTTCTACTATCTTTACGGGTATGTAGAGTTTAAAAATAAATAATAATTTGTATATATTTATATTTTAATTTCATATACACTACCATTCAAAAGATTTGGGTCAGTAAGAAACCTTATAGCTTATATTTTTCTCTGGTGTTTATATTATAGAATGATCTACGTTTTGGTGAGCTCCTAAACTGGATAGAGCTGGAAAGCATATATGGAAGCGTTTGAGATGCTGATTTTAAAACCCAAATGGAGCTGAATTTGGACTCTGCCATCTCTCTCAGTTCTGCTCAGCGGTTTCAAATGGACATTGACTTTATTTACTCCTCATTGGCAAAGAACGATCCAGGAATCAAGCAGCCTGCACAACTCCAGAACCACACATGCAAAAATAAATGATTACCAACTCTTTAGTACAACCTCTTTAGACTTACACCTGCCGCACCAATGCCAAAGCATTTCACACACTGAGAGCATTAGTAGATGAGAGGAAACAGTTTGTGTCCAAAGCAGAGGCACAAGGGCTTCAACACTATACCACTGATGGATATGTGCAAAGATTTTACTCTTGTGTTTTCAAACTGTAGGACAAAATAAAGATCTTGATTGTAGCATTTTTACAGACTTCTTTTATCTTATATATATTACTGCCTTGTAGCGCAGTCAATTCTTTAATTTGTCCTTCAGAGTCGTGTGCTGCTTTGGTGGTTCATGATCTTGTAAGTCCATGAAATTGAACTCATGCTGGTGGTCTGCTTCGTTGATGGTTCTTATCAAATGAATGCTTCATTTCAAGTGTGTCAAAACCACTGTTTACTGTCTTGTTGGTCGCAAATGAGAACTGATGCTTTCAGTGTGTTGAAGGCTTTACCTCGCTCATACACCCTGGAAATACTCCACATGTAACTTTTTTTTTTTTGCTTTTAAATTTATTTTTGTGCATTTTGTATTTCTAAGTGTAATTGTTTGTTTTCTGATTTTGTTTTACCTCCGTTATGTTTTTGTGAGATCGAGATGAGTGTGGACACTGTTTTTAATAATTTTGGTTTGATGTTGGCATGATCTCAGTGTGCCAAGATGCCATTTTCTTTTAGCCTGTCCCAAATCCCAGAGGCTTCAAGGTCCTGAAGTGATGCTGTAGAGCAGGGGTCACCAGACACGGTCTTGGAGGGCCGGTGTCCTGCATAGTTTAGCTCCAACCCTAATCAAACACACCTTGAACCAGTTAATCAAGATCATACTAGGTATACTTGAAACTTCCAGGCAGGTGTTGAGGCAAGTTGGAGCTAAACTCTGCAGGACACCGGCCCTCCAGGATCAAGTTTGGTGACCCCTGCTGTAGAGTTTGCATCTGGATTTTTTACCACACAGACAGTGGTTCATAATCACCAAGCTGGACCACAAAGTTGATATGCAGAGTAATAGGTTATTTTTGATTTTGTATTTGATTTCCCTGTGATTTACATTTTTTTTCCCAGTTTGCTGTTTCCCCTGTGTGTGTGTGTGAATCCAGCTTGATGGGTGTTTGAATGTAATAAAGTCTTGCAAGAGCTGTAGTAAATTGTGATTTTTTTTTTTCTTTTTGGCTTGTAATATTGTTTTAAAGTTCCCAATAAAGCCCACCATAGACAAATCATGACAAATGCTCATGGCCTATTTTATGATGGCATTCTGTGTGAACTTCAGTTTATTCCATTTTGATGGAAACCAAATTTGTATGGTTAAAATGTTTTTTTGTTTAAACAAAGAATAGGATAATGGTTCTATTTTTTAAATTATTAATATGATCGTCTTATGAATAATAATATTGCTAATTTTGTGATGTTATACTTATAACAGTTTTTCAGCTTTGGTAGTCATTTTAACTAAACACTGAAAACATAAACTGCATACATTTTCAGTAAAAAATGAAATAAAAAATCCAATGATAAAAATGACTTCAATTCCAAAAATAATATACAAGAGTGATACTGCTTTGCACAAAGCTATATTAGTCATAGTTAATCGAATAGTACACCCATGTGGCAAACATGAAATAAATGAAAAATCTTTTTCATATTTCAGTAGCACGATAGCATTTGAACCGTTTTGATTGTATGGCGATTAGTGTTGCTTTGTTTAAATGAAAGGTTTGGTTAACTTAGGTAATTGATGCAATAGATTTCCTTGCTAATGACCACTTTGATAAGAAAGAACTGCCAGGAATTATTGCAAACAGCTGCATGACGTATCCACCCCACCATCCAAATTACCTCACTCACATAAGCAACATATGGTTTCCCAGACACAAAAACCAATGTTACTCACGTATGGAAAGGAAACAAAGCAACCTCTGTGTCCGTTTTCAACTCCCCATCTCTCTAACGTCGGAAAGCTTTTTCCATATTAACGTGGGTTTGAGAGTTTGCCTGATTGTAAGCTTTCTTTTTCCAATGATATTCCTCTGAATTTTGATCTAGGTAAGTCAATGTCTCTTCTTCAACAGTCTAGTCAAATCTCCCGCTTGCTCATGCTCTCTCCTCCCCATCATGAGTGTAAACGCCCCTATTGCTGATTAGCTACAAGAGTGTTATGGTGCTCGTCTAATCCACTTAGTTTTTTCCCTTATTTACACAGCCAGGACTATGTTCAAACACAGTTTGTTTCAGCACACACACACACAAATATTCACAAAATTGTTTGTTTGGGTGTTGATAATTTCCGACAGTGTTTCTCAGAAATCTCACACAGGAGACTCACTGAACAAGACCCATTTAATTGCAAAATTAAAGTTATATATTAAGCACATTATTAGATCGACTTATAAAAATACAGAATTTTTAAAGTGCCATCAGAAAAGAAACAAATGCATTCATAAAGTAGAGAAAATCTATAGAGCAAAACCACCAATTAAAGTAATTTGTCTTTTTTTCTGCTTTTACATCGTCTGGATGTCAGGTTGATCATCGGGACACTGATCTCTCTGAAAGATGCTCTTTGGTTTCTTGATATGCTTCAAACTTCTCACGAAACTCATGAAGGAAGTTGTATTGCTATAAGAGACAAATAAGAAAGCATTTTTAACAGCTTAGGTGTACGGTTAGGGGAAGTGATGCATTTAGGTTTTTGGATGTTGCCTCTTACCTTGATGGTCTGAATGGCTCCGCCTCCTCTCAGCTCCCTCAGGATCTCTAGAGCTGCACTGGGCATCATGGAGACAGACAGCTGCAGCAGCAAACATGCAGCAACTGTGACAATGAAGCATAAGTTAAACTCCTAATCACACACACAAGACTGATATTGATTGTGACATTGCACCCTGTTTGAGCATTTGATACTTACTTAACCCTGAGCGTCCCAGGCCTCCATAACAACTGTGGAGGAATAAAAGCACACAATTAAAATATTTTCTTATATATATATATATATATACACACGTGTGTGTGTATATGTATGTATGTGTGTGTGTATTCTAAAATTAAATCTCTTATTCTCACCAAGGCTGCAGTAAAGTAGTAAAATCAGTAATATTGTGAAATAATTACAATTTAAAATGACTGATTTCTATTTTAAAATAGAATTTATTAATAACAACAATAAATTCATTAATAGTAATAGCAATTAAAAGTTATAGCAAAATTGAATTTTAAGCACATGATCCTTAAGAAATAATTTTAATAGGCTGATTTGGTGCTCAAGGACATTCATCATTATTATGAATGTTGAAAACAGTTGCATTTATTGTTTATTTAAAATATTATAATGTTACAAAAGATTTCTATCACAAAAGATTAATTCAATGCATCCTTGCTGAAAATGTCTCGTCTTACTGTCTTGTAAACAAAAATACTTTTAAATAAATTATTAATATTATATTTTAAATACATTTAAAATAAAGGTCCATTACAACGAAAAGGTTTGATTTATAAAAAAAGAAATATAAATATAAAAAGTAAAAATAAATATTTAAAACAAATTCGCTGGTGGAAGAATATATCTGAATGGAGTAACAGAGAGTGTTTCTTACTGTATGACAGTCCTGCGTTGATTCTGCAGGCAGTCCTGCAGTTCTTCCAGAATGCAACTGCATTGAGGAAGCTCTGGAGCGCCCCCGTCCGGGAAGGGGAGGTGGTGCACTCTGAGTCCATTCTGAGAATAAACCTCTAACAGACTCGGCACCCTGTAGCGCACCAGCTCTCCTCTGGTACAGAACACAAACACGTCCTCCACACCCTGATCACGCATCTCCGCTACACACACACAAGATAAATCACAATCAGGCATCAAGCGGTGAACCAAAAAAATTGTACTCAGGAAAAACTAAAATATCCAAACACTGAAATGTATTAATATTACTACAAAGAGGCCCTGCTAAATGCAAAAACATCATGGCATAGACTGAATAGGAAAAATAACCTGGTTTGTTGAAGCCTCTTGAATTTTCTAATAATTCACTGCACAACATTTTTATTCATGCAAATAAACTCATGTCAACAATATGAAATGGAAATAATGGTGGTCTTTTCTCCCTTATTGTGACATATCCAAATGAAACTGCTTCTTGAACAAGAAAAAAAAAGGTAGGACGAGACTCAATTTTGTCCACCAGGAAACTGATTGTCATTTTCTAACTGCTGCGATGTTCATTAAAATTGAATGAGTCTGGAAGGTATTTTTATTTATTTATTTTTGAGGATGAGACGATGCCAAAGAACCTCTCAATTTTTGTATCCGACTAATTTGACTACCTTTAAATAACTGACAAGAATTTGTGCCTAAATACCATGGAATTTGATTGGTAACTGTGTTCTGGCCTCACCTTTAAAAGTTAAAAAGACTTTATTTTGCTATCCTAATTATTCATGATCAAAAAGTTAGTTTAATTTTATTATATGATTTTACCTTGCTCCTTCGCAAACCAATCCGAACAGACCTGTAACCAATCAGTCAAGAACCACTAGTTTAGACCATTACAGTATACGTGTGACAGATAGACTCACCAACATCTTTCTGCAGGTTTCTTCTGATTTCTTTATATCTGCATCCTGAAATGAGCAGTAATTAGGGCTGCATGATTAATAGAAATAAAAGTGACATCATGTTATGGCTTAGTGCGATTATTCATAGTGAACCACGGCACTGTGTCCATTTATGCACAAGTAGCTCAAGACCTAGTGTTTTTAGTTTGGTTTAAATTAGTATTAGTATTGTAATTTTACAGTTGTACTGTAAAATACAATTCTTTTTCTTAAAGGGGTCATATGATGCTATTTTAAAGATCATTATTTTGTGTATTTGGTGTAACAGAATATGTTGACATGCTTTAATGTTTAAAAAACACATTATTTTTCAAATTTTTATAAAGAATATCTCTTTGGATTTGAGACTTTAGTCTTTGCAACTTTACAGATCTTTGTTGTGCACCAAGAGCTTGTAACCCTCCAAAGAGAGAGGAAAAATTGAAATCGCATCATATGACCCCTTTAAAGATTTTTTATTATTATTACAAAGCACAGCAAACCTGGAGCAACATTTTTTATATATAAAAAATTGCAATTTGATTTATTTCTCCAAATTGTGCAGCCCTAGCAGAAATATGTATTAATATTTATGGAATGAGCACACAAAGAGACATTATTCATACCAGGTAAGGAACAAATGCCAAGAGACTGGGAACACTCCACCACTGACAGAGACAACCTGCACAACAAACACACACACGAACCACAAATCACTCAATCTATGAATATTTCTCCAGCTGTTGAGGAAGTATATGTATGTTTTGCTCACCATGAGATCTGAAAAGGTGTAGCTTCCTCTTCACCAAAGTCCTCTTCGTCAGATGAATCAAACTCACTTGTCCTCATTGCCCCAGTCTAGCATACATACACACAAGAGTAATGACACCAAGATCATTAATCAACCCAGACACTGACATATGAGAACTGTAATGTGAAACTGATATCCAAACAGCAGCTTGTTCAGATGGCTTTGCTTATCATGTAGGAGTGGGACTGAGACATTTAGATGATTTCAGTGTAAATTTATGAGAAATAAAAGCATCATATGCTGTGAGTGAGACATTACTAAAGGTTCATATATTCATATTCTCGTTAGCACAACTAATTCTATTTACGCACTCGACACGTCGAAGTTATTCAAAAGAAGCTTTACATTTCTACATGCAAACATGAGATGGTCAGCGACAGAGAGAATCAACAACCGAACTCACCGAGACACACCACTCCACACTGCGCATGCGCGGCTATTTTAAAACATACTTAAAGGACTCGTCCAATCATGTTGAACATGTTTCAAAACCACGCCTCTGTTTGTATAAGACACGCCCTCCCGGCAGTTTCGCTTATTCTGGGGATTAAATATTTATGAGACGTAGGCTCGATTCGTTTTTCAGCTTTTTCGGAGTGGGCTACGGCAATGTGCGTATTTATTCAAAGGTATAAAATCAAACAAATAATATCTGGGTTATTGAATAAAATATTTTGACCAAAGTTAAAATGATCACAAAGCACGTACAGAGTCCCTAATCATCTCAGTGCATTCTAGACCTCTGATATGTGAGTGGAAGTCAAACGGAGCTCTAATCAGCCGAAAAATTGCTCTTTTGAATCACAAAGCGCGTACAGAGTCCCTAATCATCTCAGTGCATTCTAGATATGTGAGTGGAAGTCAAACGGAGCTCTAATCAGCCGAAAAATTGCTCTTTTGCTGACTGCGCAGGAGCGCGTGAATGTTCCCGAGACACCGGACGGCGCGCGCAGTCCGTGTTCTGTTTCTCCTCCCGCAGTCGGACAGACGCAGTGCACGACACCACACAAACCGGGCACCGGGACACAAGAGCGCAGTGATAGACACTGAACTACAAAAACATGAGGTTGTCGCTATGTCAAAGAAATGGAATAACATTTAAACTTAAAAAGAAATCGTGAAGATTTTCTTTCTGGTAAGTGAGCGCGCGCTGTACATACTTTCGTACATTCTTTCATTTCTTACTAGTATCATTATTATTAAAAGTAACTGCCTTAGTTTGATCATCAAGATTTGTGTTGATGAATAGGCTGAAATACTACATTTTTAAAATAACTTTTGTGTCGTTTTCAGGCTGCTACTTACATTTTTGATAGGACACTTAGTTTTACATCTGTAATGTACAACTGTAAACCGTTTTAGGAAAGTAGAATATTATGAAAATATTTTTGGAAAAAATGAAACTAATCATTTTTACATCTTTTTCACTCTCTGCTGTAGGGTGGAGCTCTTTGTTAGGTATCTTTCCCCCCATTTGGGATTCGCTGATAGGGCGACCAGCTCTAGGTAAAAACACAAGCGCGAGCCTTGGTTTCACATTCATCAGAAACAGTCACACAACCCTTTCTGCATTTTTAGATTATCTTTACTAATAACTTGATTATTTATTTGAAGTTTTGTTCTCATGCTATGGGTGATTTCAGGTTTTATTCATGCACTGTAAAAAAAAATTGGCATGAATTTACGGGATTAAAGAGTATTATTTTACAGTAAATTACGGTAGTCAGAAATTTACTGTGAAATCAATGCATGCTGGGTCATTTTCTTACAAATGACTGTGAATGAACAGTAGAATGATGCTAACATCACAGTAATTTACTGCTTTTGTTTTACTGTGAATTCACATTATAAAAGTGTCTTTAACTGTGCCACTGTGAGAAATGTAGTTGTTAACTACTGTAATTGTTTTGAAGTCACCATAATGGTGATTGGTGATCCCATTTGTTTGGGCTCTTTGACCTTTATAGTCATATTCACATTTCTGATCAAGTCATGTCAGAAGTGTGACAAGTGAAAATATTTGTCAAAATGATGACAAGCTAGAATATGAAATAAGCAAACTGCCTGATTTTAACAAAATATTCTTTGCATGAACATGAGGATTTTATTTTAGCATTATTTATGCATGAAGATTAATCAATTACTTTTTTCATATTCATAACTGATTGTGGATGGATCTTTCACAATAGTGAAGCAACTGCTGAGAAACATTTTTGAAATATGTGACATCAATACTTGACACACAAAACAAAACACTTACAACATAAATCAACATTACAAAATAAACAACACAAACTGCTATAAGTAAACCAAAAACAAGTTCAATAGCACAAATAAAACCAACAAGAATTAAAAAAAAAACTCTACAGCATGATCTATTCATTCTGCATTGCATGCTGGGTGCCTTCAGAGTACATCTGCACTGTGGAAACACAGAATGATGCTGTTTGTTTAGAAGAAATTTCTGAGAGTGCAGTTAGATACAAGAGAAGTCCCACTGTGAAAGTAATGCAAATATTAACCTGGAATATACTGTAACTTCACATTAACATTTTTAACAGTGTGTGATGACACACACTTGGATAAGATGATCATGGGTTACTATTCTTGTAGTGATAATCTGTTAAACAAATGGATAAGTAGTATTCTTCTGGTGACTAACCTCTTAAAAAAATATACAATGGATTAGATGATCACAGATCGCTGCTTGTAGTGACTAACTTCTTATGAAACACATCAAATGGATTCGATCTGCTTAGCAAGCATCAGACATAAGAACTAAACTGTTGTGTATCTTACTACACCAACATAAATCTCGGCGGTCATCTGCCAAATAAAGCCTCTCCACAGAGAATGTTTACAAACCTTTGAGACTGTGTGTTAAATGATGTTTGTGTATCCTCACACAGAAAATGAAATCTCATGAGGGAGAACTGGAGAGGGAGATCTCGAAGGTAACAAATACACACTGACTTTCTTCAACAGCTTTGAAAAATAACAAGAAATGTATAGGAGCATTGTAAACATTTATATGTCTGTTAAAAAGACATTTTTGGTTAGTATGTGTAATTACTTGTGATTACTAGGCCTGAAAAAGTCATGGAAACTAATACAAGTCTTAAAATCATGGACATTTCTAGCTATACTCAAAAATATCAAACTGGATAGAAATTGTTCTTTGACAGTGCAATCTGCATAAAATGTGGATGTGTTGTGTTCAGGTTCAGGGCATGGTGTGTGAGTTGCGGGCAGGGTTTTCTCGTGCACTGCTGGAGCTGAATCAGATTCAGCAGGGAGACACTGAGCTGCAGAGCCAGCTGGAGGACACAAGACATGGCTGCAACAAGCGCTCCCTTCACCTAGAGAGTCTGGTGCTGTCCCTCAAGGTGAGATCAGACACCTGTCTTGTAAATCTGTTCTATGGGTGCTTCAAAATCCTCAAACTGATGCTTCCTTGTTTCCTTGCTCCTCCATCCTCAAGCCCGAGATCCGGAAACTAATCAAAGTTAGCCATCTTGAAAGACATCTCAAATCTCTAATTGCACCACGAGGAGGTGAGGAACAAGGAGCTTTAAGTGAGGATACACAGGTGTATCTTTTGCTTAAGTCTTTCTTGTCGAAAAACTTAAATTCTCCTCCCCCAGTTTAAATAAATCCCACGTCTCATACATTTCAACATGGTCTCTTGCTTTATGAATATTTATAATTAGTGTCTTAAATAACTAAACTTTAACAACATAAGGGTAGATCACCCGAGCACATTTGATGACACTTTGAAGTGACGCTTGAGTAATCAAGAATATTCAAATGTACAAGTAAGCTCTCCTTTGATTCCTCCTTCCTCGTTTTCTTGTATCTTTCCCTCTCATCCTAAGGTGGGTGGAGCTAAGACATGAGGAAAGGAAGCGAGTAAAGGAAACGAGGATACGCAAATAAGAAATGAGAAGCACTCCTTATGTGTTTGTCATAGTTATGTTTTCATGTGTGTCTCTTTAGGAGGAGCTGGAGGAGGTACGTTGTCAGTTTCGTCAACTTGGCGAGGCACAAGAAAGAAAGGCACCAGAGAATCCAGGAAGAGAGAAGTAAACACACACACACACACACACACTGACATGCATAAATTTACATTTAAAGTATGACTGAAACTGTGTTACATTGTGTTACAGTGTGAGTGCTGATGTGTGTATGTGTGAATGCAGTAATGGAGTGGATGACCGTAGTGGACAGAGTAATGGTGCTGCAGAGGCTCCTCCCCTTTCATCTGTGGGTGGAGATTTCCTCATACACTGTTACCTGCAGGGATTACAGGTGTGGCAATGGGCCAGACAGAATTCAGGTGAGCTTTAATTTTTTGTGGGTAAAAAAAAAAAAAAAAGATTTTTTAATAAAGGGTTTCAAAGTAAAACAATACAGACTACAAAAACACAAATTTGTGAAAACGGTGAAGTCATGTGCATGCATATTACATGTTCAGTCTACTGGAATGCATATGATTGCAGGCGCGTAGTGTTTCTTTAAAAAGGGACATTGCCAACTACTGGCCTGGCATGCCTAATACAGCATTTTTAGTCGTTTTCACAGATGGGATCGTTTTGACAATGTTGTCATCTGTACACATAACTTTTCAAAAACAGAAAGGAAAAACTTTTCTGTTTTTAGTACAATCATTGTTGTGTAAACATACCCTAAAGTATATATTTTTAAATATATGTTAAAGCTACACTATGTAACTTTTTCTGCTCAAAATTAACAAAATGTTCATAATAAAAGAGAACAACCATCCTCCAAACTGTGTTTTGTCCTTAAAGGTCTCATATTGTCAAAACTGAAATTTCCTGGCTTTTTTCATGATTACTGAGGTCTAGGGGCTATTTAACTACCATATAAGTTTCAAAACAGTCAGTCCACAGTAAAATTCACACAGCCTGCTTAAAGTGCTAGCTATTTTTCACGAACTGTTGTGACTTCCGTAAAAAGTTGATGTCAGAACTACACAGTCACTGCCTTCAGTCACCACCCCGAGCACCGCCCACAGTCCCACTCTCCTTTTGCCAAACACCCAGACAACATCGCGTCCATGCTTTTGCCGAGCATGGACAACACGGAAACATGTCGAAAAGGTTAACTTTAACCACGAAACCAGATTGGCCGACCTGTAACGTACACTCTCACTCAAAGGATGGACGATCTGACAAGATTGTTACTATGAGGTGGACCACATCTAACCTGTATAGTAAAGACAAACTCACCGTGTCTATCTAGTCATGATGAAGATGTATATATATTTCAATTTCAGCAAACAACTATTTTTACAGCTACACTATTGTTCCAGCCACAATTAATCACAACAATGTATATACAATTACAAATGATTATATATAAATCATCAGTTTGTTGTTTTACACACATGCACACAGACATTATTTCATACACGACATAGTCGTGAGATGCAAGAAACATAGACATATGGCAAGAAATCTGTAGACGCGCCCATAACAACAAAAGACAATACTTTATTGAACCTTTTCTGATAAGAAGTGTGCGCTGCAAACATGAGCAATAGTGTGTAGGCATTGTACATAATCGACCCTACAGAAAGTCAAAGCAATGCAAATATGCATATACATATATTAAAGGGGTCATATGATTTTGTATATGTTATTTTGTGTATTTGGTGCAATGAAATGTGTTTATGCAGTTTAAGGTTAAAAAAACACATTATTTTCCACATACTGTACATTATTGTTTCTCCTCTATGCCCCGCCTTTCTGAAACGCGTTGATTTTTACAAAGCTCATCGGTCTGAAAAGCGAGGTGTGCTCTGATTGTCTAGCTATTCAGTGCGTTGTGATTGGCCGAATACCTCAAGCGTGTGACAGAAATGTTACTCCCCTTACCATACTGTGATGCAGTGTCCCGGCGCGACGAGACAAAAACAATAAAACCCATTATAAACGAGGCATTTGTTGCATCCAGTGGGGACATAATTACGTATTATAACGACTTGTACTGTCTTTTTACATGTTGCCTTGCATCACGCCGCGTAAACATAAAACCATGTCTGCATTTACTGTTCTGGGACAGTGTTGTAAATACAACTTAAGTCAGTAAGAAAACCAAAACCACAGAAAACCACTGATTTCTAGTCGTGTCCTCTTTTGGAAGGCCAAACTTCCAAAGAAACACACGGCGTCTTCACAACATGGCGACACTAATGTTACGCCTTCTTTCTTTGCGTGAACATTTGGGCGGCGTTATGCAAATCTTCCCACATCGTGACGTAGACATGTGGGGGCATGTTTAAACGAGACGTTTTAGGGGGGCGTGGCCGAGTCTTAACTTTTATAAAGAATATCTCTTTGGTTTTGAGACTTTAGTCTTTGCAACTTTAGGGATCTTATCTATTCACGAACAGCTTGTAACACTCCAAAGAGAAAGGAAAACTTGAAATCGCATCATATGACCCCTTTAAGGACTGTAGAGAGCATGTCAATAGGAAAATAAAGCAAAAACTCAGACATTTTAGGCAATTTAAAAAGAGGATGTATGGTCACCCTACTTAGTAATGTCAGCATTGCCAAACGTTTGCACCTCAAGCCATCAGAATCATCCTCACAAAATAGCGGTGCCCAAGCACAACATGCGTAATTACTAAAACAGTGTTTCTCCTGACGTAACTTGTATTTTATGCTACAGCTGCTATAGAGGGCCAAAAGTTACATAGTGTAGCTTTAATATATTGAAAGAAAATGTTACGTAATACATAATATGTGGCTGAAATGATATTAAAAATGCTTAAACAGTGCAATCACAGTACAGTCAATTTTGTTTACTGTTTCAGGTGAAGATTCTCTTTCCTGCCATGTAACACACAGCTGCCTACGGCGGGGTAAATAATCTGTTCCCCAAACCTTTTAACGGCTTAGCATTCACATGTGGATCCTCATGTCTCTCTGTCTCTTTGTGTCAGGCAGGAGGCGGGGTGTGGTGGAGATGCTGTTACAGTCTGAACGCGATTATGTGTCTAGTTTGAATCAGCTCTATGAGAAATACAAATCTGCTGAGCAAAAGTAGAGAACTATAATCATTATCACCGTTTCATGTCATCTCTTTATCACACACTATAACAAGTGTATTTGTGTGTTTGTGAGACAGTGTGGCGCTTGTAAAGCATATCGATCAGATGCTACAGCACCACCTGCTGTTCCGTAACACCCTAGAAGAACGACTGACCACCGATGAGAGAAGCTGTGCTGCCGGGGATGCTTTCCTCAACCTTACTGGACAGAACAATGTAATGCCATTGACTACTAAAATAATCATATGTAGTCCCGTTTTAAATTGATCAAAAGTGACAGTAAAGTCTTTTACATTGTTACAAAAAAAGCTAATATAGAATGCTGTTTTTGAACTTTCTATTCATCAAACAATCCTAAATTAATATCACATTTTCCCAAAAATGTGAAGCAGCACAAGTGTTTTCAACATTGATAATAATGAATGTTTCTTGAGCAGCAAATCAACACATTAGAATGATTTCTGAAGTGACACTGAAGACTGGAGTAATGATGCTCAAAATTCAGCTTTGCAACATTTAAATGCAGCTACTTTCATAATTGGATACAAATATATTATTATTGTTGAACACACTTAGAATAAATCCAAGAAAAAAATTGTATTTATATATTTAATTTTGATTACTAGACCTGGAAATGAATATACGTCTTAAAATCAAGGGCATTTCTAGTTATACTTAGTTCTAAAATATTTAATTTGCTTTCTTTTCTTTTTTTTACAGTAAATTGCTGTTGAAATTCTTCTTTGACTGTGCAATCGGCATAAAAGTGTTTTCAAAATTAAATAATTTATAAAGAATTCATAATTGAATAATTACATTTGAAAAAAGATTGTAGTTTTAAGTCATTTCTTTTACAGCTGATTTAATATATGAAAAAAATGCAGCTGTATTTTAAAAATTTGGAGCAACTAACAACTCTAAATGTATTAATGTACTGAACAAAATCAATTTGAGCATGCAAGTACAATTTATTTGTATTGGAAAGATAAATGGATGAATTATTTAATTTTCAAACAACATGTCATTTTTATAATATCAGAGAATAAGCATGTCTTAAAATATATAGCTGCTTTTAGTTTTTTTTTTAATGAAACACATGGATGAATCATTCACAGTAAGATCAGTAAGATGCATCTAAAAAAAAATAATACATTTTCATTTCATGTTGACTTTAAAAGTCCCTCATATAAACTACGTTTGTAAACAGCAGTCAAATTCAATGTAATTAGAATTTTTTTCTTACCTATAGTAAACAATAATGTCTCCCCTCAGAAATGGCCGTAAGCATATATGTGATCTGACCCCTGGTGGCTGGACTGCAGAGTACATGTGGAATGGCAGCGCAGGGAAGAGCCCCATCTGCGCACCCTTCGCTCGTCATCCTAGAGAAGCCGGCCGCTTTCCGAATCCTGTGCCACCTGTAGGTGTCGAGGGAAACCTCACTGCTGCTGCCAAGAGTCAGAGCTCCTCGGCTGGTCTGGCCGTGCGTGTGTGTGGGTCTCCAGGGCTCGACGGACGCATATACACATCTGACCAGTACCCTCTGTCACATCGCCTCGATGATGGGGACACAGAATGCGACGTGGCTGATGCATCCGTTTTTGACTTCTCTTCTGTAACGACCTGTAGCCCAGATGAAACTCTGAATCAGCTCAGGGGAGCGGAAGCAGGTGATGATGAGGATGATGATGAAGAGGACAGTGAGGTTCCAGTTCTCCTCAAACCTTCATACACTCACAATGCTTCAGCCATGCAGGCAGGGGGAAGCTTATGTATGCAATGGCAGATTCCCAGACGGGCCCCTATTCCTGCTGAGGTTTGGATTGGGGCGCAAGGAAAAACACGTGCCCCAAAACCACACAGAATGCCCACCAGTGCCTTCCGGCCGATTTGGGACCCGACTTATTCACAGGTTTGTGACATCACACAAAAATTAGCACAAGCCGACTGCATCCTACAATTTTGAATCACTATTTTGTCCCACCCTCAGATTCCAGATTTTCAGATAGTTGTATCTCGACCAAATATGGTCTTATCTTAAACCATACATCAATAGAAAGCTTATTTATTCAGCTTTCAGATGATGTATAAATCTCAATTTAAAAATAATTAACCCTTATGACTGGTTTTGTGGTCGAGGGTCACATATAGTACATGTATATTATTAATGTAATCTGGACATACTACATTCATCATGTTGTCATTGTCATGTGACCTACCTGAATCAGTTTCACAAATCCTCTCCCGTGGCCTCATGGGATAGTAATGTGTCCATTGGATGTCACTTCAGAATCATTCCAGTTGTAGCAAGACATCCAGGAACTTTTCACCTACTGTTTTATGAATACTATGAAGTCAGACATACTACTCTTTTCACATACTGTTTTTTTACCTACTATATAGTGGATAAGTATGTGAAATGACTGGAAATATCAATTGAACCATTACTAACAAAAACACTCACCTTCTCTTTCAGGGTGATGCGACTCCTGCAAAAGAGAACGCTGTGTCTTTCAGCTCAACCAATCAGATCATTAATCAGCAGCAAGAGACTGACCAATCACGGTAAGGGGCATACGGTAGCATTCAGAATAGCATTCTACTTGGATGACCTGCCAAAATGTGCATTATACAACAGAACATTTAATAATCTGTTCAATTTGAACTAAAGGCCATTTATTTTGCATTTGCCACTTAATTCTGGATGCTGGTGCCATCCATTTATGTAAAATACTTAAAATCACCATGAAATAAAACTGTACAATTCTTATTTTCTTAATGAAATATTAAGTGATTAAGTGACGTGACATGTGGCCAAGTATGGTGACCCATACTCGGAATTAGTGCTCTGCATTTATCCCATCCAAAGTGCACACACATACCGTGAACACACAAACACGGTAGCAGAAAAATATTGCAATGTTTATTATTTTTCTATGCACATAATTAAATAAAAAATGTATGTGCCCTCTTAATCTTTAATAAAAAATGTCCCTGGCAACAACATTGTCTCCCTGCACAAAGGCGAGATAATAAATCCTTCCCTTGAGCAACATGTCAATCACAGAGATCACAGCAATTAGCAAACCTCAATGATCCCATCAATTTCCAATGGACAAAATCCCTCGTTTCTTGTTTGACAAGCCACTTCACTCATACATCAAAATAAGAAAGAAAAGACGTTCACTATGTCATGCTGACTTTAAATCAATTAACTACAAATCTAATAAAAAATAATGCACAAGATACTGCATGTAACGATAAAGTTCTGAAGTACATTTAAAGGCTTAGAATTCTCTACTATTATCCTTTTTTAGTGTAACTTCAGTTTCAGTTTAGTTTAGGGTGTTTACTTCATTTTAGCTACATATTCAACAGCACTTACCTCTGAGCCTGCAAATACATCCGAGATATCTGCGGAGCCAGTAGTATGCCATTCCAAAAGATTTCTGAAATCAAATAAAAATGTCAATAAAATTATGTGCAGTTATCTCTATGCTAAACTTAAAATATTGTGATGCCAGTTAGTAGTAATGTGTGTGTATATGTTGTTTTAGATCTGCATATAGAGGAACTGGAGTCCAGCGGGCTGAAGCAGTGTGGCATGACAGTGAGGACAGTGAAGGACCCTGCAGTACAGTCTGACACACTCCTATGCCAGCAAACAATTAATATTACGCACTGGTGCAACTAATCATACACAGGGAACTTCTCTGCTTCATCCAATTAAATGACTGGAATCGTTTTTTTTTTTAAATCTGAGATTACAAATGATGACTTATTCTCACTGTGTATTGACATGAAGCACCAGCACCCTCAGCACAGCTAAATTCAACAAAAGTCTCCCAGCATGATTTGATCTGTCAGAGAGAAATAAACACTTTGATGTAACAGAATGCACATAAACAGAGGAATAAAAACGTTCAGTAGAAAATAAGACTGCGAGTTTATTAATGAGTCTCATGGAGAACATGGTACAAAAGCAGTTACAGGCTTTGAATGCACACGCACAGACACACACACACACACACACACACACACACACACACAAACAGTGAGTTTTTAGGAATTACTAACACTTCAAATCAACTGACCAATCATCTCTGTGGGAGTGGCCAGCATGAGATTCTACACATACAGGATGTGACATCACTACAAAACACTGCAGTCCCTCTATGGCTGATCGCCTCGGAGACCACTTCCGTGGTCGATTGGATAGGAATTGCTCTGGTGATGAAGCCCTTCCTGTATGGACCTTGTTTGGTTGATGGAGCGGACCTGAATGAGAGCAGGAGGCGTGATTTACAATAGAATACAATACAACATTCTGACCGTAGCGTGGTGTCTGAAAGTTCATGAGTTTTGGGAAACTGCCCGATGGTTGTCCTGACCAGCCCAGAGGACGGGGGTTAGCAGGACAGAGTCATAAGGTCACAGGATTGTGAGTTTGAGTCCTCTGCTTCTCTGTAACAGTACTGCCCTAAAGTGCAAAAAAGGCTCACCGCACACTATTAAGACACACAAACTAGACACTGGTCCACACCAAACACTCTACAACAGTGTGTGAATCCGGTGGGTCTCAGACTGAGATTGTCAGTAGATACATCAGCATCTGGGCCGCCACGGCGCTGAGGTGAGGGCAGATATGTCACTCTGTACAGAATACTTGGGAGCACAAATGGACGTGTTGTCTAGACATTTGTTCTAAGCATGGTCAAGGCGAATGCTTTCAGACACTTAATTTTTGTTCAGTACTGATATTGAAGGCACATTAAGAGTCTGGTGCAGAAATCACGGGTCGTAAGCATCGGAAGAGGGGTGGGGCTTGTGATGAATCAACGAATAGATGAGTATGCCTTTGAGGGGAGGGGTTAAGACATCATATTGGCTTTAAATAGTGTAAGGAAAAAGCTCTCATCAAAACTTCAAGAGTTCACCTGAAGGGTACAATCTCTGGTCAAGGTCACGGCGATGAGTTAAAGGCAACCAAAGAGAAGCGTGCTGAGGGTGTTTGGGTTGAACCCTGGTTGACCTTTGAACTGCAACCAAATAAACATCCTCAACAGAGTCTGACGGTGGTGAAAGGCCTCAGAGCAGCATTTCCATCAGTGAATCTGCTGTCGATGAGCACATGACCTTGCGTAGTTCTGCATGCTGAACGTCACGTGACGGATGTGAAAAATGAGGGATAATAACATTCCTCAAGAGCTATGAGCGTCTTCAGGTTTTTATTAGCATCAGATTGTCTGGTTCCAGGTTAAAAGTTGTTAAAACACATACACACACACACACACTATATTTTAGGGTGTGATGCTCTTATTCGTTGCTGTCCCTGGTGTCAACTAGAGAAAAAGTGTGTATGGATGGCTGTGAGAGAGTGTGTGTGGATTTAGAGAGTTCTCTTTTGTAAGTCTTAGGTGGCAGTTTTGGCAGCGCAGGGGTGGAGTTGTGCCGAGGTGGTATAGGAGGGGCTGGAGTGGGCGGGGGCAGGTGGACCAGCATGGGTTGACTGACGCTGTGCGTGCAGGGGCGCCGAGGCACGCGTGGAGAAGGCGTGCCGGGAGGCGGAGCACGTGGTGAGGGAGTCCCAGGAGGGGTGTTGGAATGAGCGTCTTCAGGTTTTTATTAGCATCAGATTGTCTGGTTCCAGGTTAAAAGTTGTTAAAACACATACACACACACACACTATATTTTAGGGTGTGATGCTCTTATTCGTTGCTGTCCCTGGTGTCAACTAGAGAAAAAGTGTGTATGGATGGCTGTGAGAGAGTGTGTGTGGATTTAGAGAGTTCTCTTTTGTAAGTCTTAGGTGGCAGTTTTGGCAGCGTAGGGGTGGAGTTGTGCCGAGGTGGTATAGGAGGGGCTGGAGTGGGCGGGGGCAGGTGGACCAGCATGGGTTGACTGACGCTGTGCGTGCAGGGGCGCCGAGGCACGCGTGGAGAAGGCGTGCCGGGAGGCGGAGCACGTGGTGAGGGAGTCCCAGGAGGGGTGTTGGGAGTGCTAGGCGAGCTGGTGAAGTCCCAGAGGAAACGGCCTCCTGGAGATGGCTGCATGTTCACTGGGTAGTTGATGAAGATCTCCGGTGGTCGTTGCGGAATTGGCGGAGGTGTTTCTGGCAGGGGATCGCGGGGCGGAGGGGGTGGAGGGCTCGGCAGCGGCCCATCTGTTGGCCCATTGATCACTGGAACACGTGGTTGCAGGCGAGGAGGTGGCGGCTGTCGTGGTGGAATGGCGGGAGGACTTTCAGACCTGAAACTTAACTTAAGACAGGACAGAATACACTCATGTAAATGTGACAGCACAACATGATGCAATGATGAAAGCCTGTGAAACTGACTAAATATTATCTTAGTAAAGCAAGAGGACAAATTCATTTTTTAAGTAATGAATTATAAAACAAAATACAACTAAATAAAAGCATTTTCACAAGTCTCACAAATGCTCAAAGTAATGTGCTTTTTTTTAAATCTTTTTTTACCTTATAGGTCTACATTTTTTAAATAGGGAAAGTTGTAATTTAAGCTTGAAATGAATGAAGAAAGCATCTAATCCTACACAAATTAAGCCAATTAATATGATATTCTTTTGGTTTCTATATCCTATATTTGAAAAAAATGCAAATTAATATACAGGTATCGTTAAGTACCAAAAATGAAAGCATTCTGGAAAGTGGTATAGGAAAACCTACAAAAAGGAATGATTAAAAAAGATTCCATTTTGTAGTAAAATATTTTGTTAAAATATGCTTGTAGCCATGTTGTCAACTCTTTAAATCATGAGTATTATGTATAGTTTCAAAGAAATGCAAAAAGGTGGGCACAACCAAAAAGACCCAAAAAATTGGGTTCATGTGCAGGACAGAAAATGATACATATAATAAACAAATACAATGTCAGCGCATTGTAAATTATAGCTCCAAAAAAAAAATTTTTCCCAATGGAATTTCTTTTTTTGTTTGTTTTTGGAGTTTTCATTTTTCAGTGTGTGGACATTATAGCATGTTTCAAAGTAACTTCCTCAACACTGTATGCAAGTCACCTTGGTCTCTGAAGAGGTATCTTTCCTGCGGGGAGGTAATGGAGGGGGTTTAAGCAGCTCATCCCCAATCAAATGGTGTAAACTGCCACACGACAAAGACTGAGACTCTGACAAAGAGAGAAAACACAGTCTCACAGTCCGTCACATAAAGCAGGAGAGCTCTGCTTTGGAAAAATGATGACTTCACACTTACTGGACTGAGCAGGGCTCCAGACAAAAAAATTGAGTAAGGAGCCATTGGCTCCTATATGAAAAAAACATAGGCGTTTATGTCTCATCTTTTCTTGACTTTATCAGCATTTTAATCCATCTTGTAGATGACCTGGGAACTAAGGTTCACTTAAAGTGGGAACTAAATGTATTTTCCAACTTGAAATATATAGTCACGCATTGTTTATTACACAGAGTCTGTACCAATATCACGGACCATAAGCATCACTTGGCCACTGAGTGTAGTTTGGGCTCCTCCTCAATGCATCCTGTAAATGCTGTCATACACTCTTAAAAATAAAGGTGCTTCACGATGCCATAGAAGAACCTTTTTGTCTAAATGGTTTCATAAAGAACCTTTAATATTATAAAAAGTTGAGAAAGAGATGGTTCTTTATAGAACCTCTGACTGAATGGTTCTTTGTGGAACCAAAAATGGTTCTGTGAAGAACTTTGAAGCACCTTTATTTTTAAGAGTGTATATGTCATTCACACTTTCAGTCTGATTTTCTTCATTAGTAAAATGCAATTTTATAGGAGTTGAATCATACAACATGTTAAGTAAAAATATGAAAATGCAATAGCGCATAAATATAGCAAAATGCTCGTTTATAGTTATTTTTCTAGCTGACTGATGAGCTTATGGACACCGAATGGTTATTCTGAGGTAAATGTATATTACGTTGCAATGTTTACAAGCTTTACACGTTTTCTGCAGTTTGAAACACTGAATGAGCTTTTACATGAGACATTTCAGTAAGTTGTACTGTAGGCTCTCTTATAAAAAAAAGCCTATTTTTTAATGTTAATTCATGTTCATTATGTACTATAGTATTAAAGAGAAAGATATAATGGGTTCACTTGCCGCTTGAACTGAGACGCTAAAGAAATCGCGCCTGCCGCATTAAAAATTCGTTATGAATTTTGAATAATTTCAAAGCTGATACTTTGCTTATTAAAAAGTAACAAAACTTTTTGCGATTACCGGACGGCATATGAAATTCACGCATTAACAGAACACAGGACAGACTAAGATCTTGATAAGAAGAAGCCATATTATTAATGATTATAAACGAGAATTGTTAACGATATTGCCAATATCCATACAGCTGACAGCTTTACCCGTTGTAGTTTGTTCAAGATGTGCACGAAATAGACACTGCTTTTCTGCACTTTCACTTCGCACGCACGTCTCTGTCATTTCGATCTCGCGCTGCACAACTGAGCTGCGTTTATCAGACTGTGTGCGGCAGAGATGAGGACTGTTTGAAACTCTTTTTTTCCACTAAAACTTTGATGCGCATCGTCTCAGTTTAATACGCGAACATAACAAAAGATGTGATCGCAAAACAATCAGGAAAAAAGGCATTACATGCAAATTTTTAAGTTAAAATATGTAAATACATAGGGCCTAGTGACCTCAGCAAAATCTTCACTCGCAATTTAATATTTTTGGTCGCAAATGCGACCGTTTTAGTCGCAGTTTGGAGCCCTGCTGAGGCAGCAAAACTGGGGCAAATATGCTGTTGTTACCTGCAGAAAAACAAACAAAATTACATTTAAGCATGTCTAGAGAAAAAATTATGCACAAGTTTACTAGCTGATCCTTAACCATTGAGTTACCGCCACTCCCCTCTCACCAAAGGAGCTGCTCAGGTCGTGCTCCATGAACACGGAGTTGAGGTCAGAGCTGGCAGACTGTGGAGGTGTGGGTGTGTTTGGAGAGGTTGGGAGAGAAGGGGGGATCTCAGGTTCTGTTTCTGCAATGCTCCTGAAAGTGATTTTGTGAGGTGGTTCTCGTTCTAACGGCACTGGGTGACCTTTCAGCGTCCCTCCTCCTCCTGATGCTTGCCGCACTGGTCGAACGCCAGGAGACTTCAGAGAATACGTAGTCTTTCTGGGCTAAAGGACACAACACGCTCAGTTGTAAAACCAACATACTGTTATAAACTTAAACCACCTCACTTTACTCATCAATAGGGGTGTAAATCGGATGGTTCATCACGATACGATATCGATTCTCATACCCAGTGATACGATATTTGCCGATACCTCAAAAAATTCTACGATACGATTACGATTCGATTCAGGAGTATATCGATTAATATATCGATATTATATACCTATTTTAAACAACCATATACATTTTTATTAACTCACAAATGCAACCAAAATATATAACATGAAAATTTATCTGAAATTTTCACATCCTGTTCCACAATTGGGACATTCACAACAAAAAAATTGGCCTACACTTTTTTTTAAATAATAAAGAAAATAAACAATTGGAAAAACAATTCTGGCTGCTACTATGGGCTCAGTGCAAAAAATCTTTTCTACAGATAACCAAATTACAAGCAATAGCAGAAAATAAATATAAAGACACAAGTTCTATAAACAGTGCTTCTCAGGTTTTTCAGCTCAGTCTAAAATCAATGTTCAGGTACGCTACAGAAATGTAATAATCAAAAGTAAAATAAGTGCACAGTCTTCAATGTATAAATTAAATATAGATTAATCATTTTTGATGTTACAAAGGTTATTTAGTCAGGAGCAGTGAGCACTTGTATTTTTCTTTGACAGCATTAGATTTATTATTAGTTTGCTTTCACTTTAAGAACGAAAGCACGGATTTAACTGATACACATGCCTTTTCTTTCTCAACTGTATACGTTAGACATATGCCTAACCGACTGCGTTTACTAGGATATTCGCCAAAACGCGCATTTTGAAGTAATTTTGTCTGTATTTATTCATCCATGCACAAAAAAGCGGAAGAGAGCTCAATTTAGTATCCGCGCGGTGTAGACGCAGCTGTCTGTGTGCGCAGTAAACTCCTCGCACAGCGCTCGACTTTTCCGCAAACAACCCCGAGCGTCTTTTACGCTCACCTTGTGCTTTCGGACAGTGCTTATATCGAGTCCTGATACGTGAGTTTGAACGAGAATGCACGCGATGGCGGTAATGCTTAAACGGACATTATCTGAAAATGTGGACCGTGCCAAAATAAAGGGGCCTATTTATACTACAGATATTGATATTTTACGCGTGGCATCGATGCATCGTATCATCAGACATCGTATCGATCCATATCGATGAATCGTTACACCCCTACTCATCAACACAGTGAAAACACAACACAACACATGATCTCTCCATTATATTCATCTCAAGAGATTAATCTCTTGAAGAATTCCTTCTGTAATAGGGATGTGCTAATCTACAGATTTTCAAAAATTAGTCAGTTGTCGTCTAAATGATAAGCATCAACATGAACAGTATACATAGAAAATAGGTTTAGAAAATATTTCACACAAAAATTATTTCCAACAAATGTCCAGTCGATCAGTGAGATTTTTTTGTTTATATTAATATTACTACTATTCTTACTATTTTTTATTAATTTAATTGTTTAATAATTACAGGCTAAAATGTATTAATTTAAGCCAAAATGTCAAAAATAAATGCATAAATAAATAAACCAACCTCACCAAATAAACTATAAACTTAAAAAAACTACAACAACAACATTGCTGCCAAATAAATAAATTCGTTTTTTAGTATTATTTAAAAATTAAAAATGATACATTTAGACATATATATTTATATATAGACAGTGTTTGTAACAAAAAACTCACAAATCTAGGTGGCTGTTTGCAGTTCCGTGGTTCGATCTCTAGAGACTTGTTGAACAGGTAGTCAGAAAACTCCTTCTCGCTCATGTTTCCCATTGGATTCAGATTCTCAAAAAACCTCTACAAGACAAACAATCTCTTAAACACATAAGAACTAGATGGAGGAAGAGGAAACAGATGAGAGTGAGTGATGAACATATAAACCTTTATATCGTGTTCTACTTTGAGGCAGTAGGGTTGGTTCTGGTACTGCTGGATTTCTCCAGTGATTTCTGCTACTTTGCGTCTTTTGCTAAAGTTGATCAGTTCTTTTCCATCACGTTTTAGAAAATCTGGATTTCCCTCTTCAGTCTTCAGAATGTTAGTCAGGTAGATACCTGAATACACAGAGCAAACAGACAGGAAACATCACATATGCGCACACACACGCACACAACACACACACAATACTGTTCAAAATGTTAGGGTCAGTAAGATTTTTTTTATTTGAAAGAAATTAATACATTTATTTAGCAAGGACAGATTAAACTGATCAAAATAGATGGTAAAGACATTCATAATGTTACAAAAGATTTATATTTGAAATAAATGCTGTTCTTTAGAACTTTCTATTCATCCAAGAATTTAAATTCCACAAAAATATCAAGCAATACAACTTTTTCGAAGACTGGAGTAATGGCTGCTGAAAATTCAGCTTTGCCATCACAAGAATAAAGGTAACACTTTACAGTAAGGTTCCATTAGTTACTGTATTAACTAACATAAACAAACAATGAACAATACATTAATTGCAGTATTAATTAATCTTTGTTAATGTTAGTTAATGAAAATACAGTTGTTCACAGTTAGTTCATGTTATTTCACAGTGCATTAAATAATGTTAACAAGCACAACTTTTAACAAATGCTGTAGAAGCAGTGTTTCCCACAGGATTTTGTGAGACTGTGGTGGGTGGTCCTCGATCCCTCTAGGGGGGTCTGGGGGCATGCTCCCCGTAAGAAAATGTTGTACGTTTTAAAGTTAAATTCATAAATCTGGTGCACTTTGAGAGTTCAAAATTAAGAGCTCCAACACAGGTTCAGTTTGCAAAGTAAAAGAAAAAAGCTGGTGAATGTACTTGTTCTTGAAATTTAAAGGAGACTCAACCCTCTTTTTAGTTGTGATATAGTGTCTCAGTCTCATTGGTGAATTTGGAAGCCAAGCAAATTAAAATAAAACAATAATAATAATAATACATTTATATTATTATTCCTCTGACAGTTATAGCCATACATTGTAAAACAATTGCACTGTGAAATAAATGAAAACATTTTTTTTTCAGGTATATAATTTTACCTTACTCTACTGTAGGGAAATTGCAATAATTTTGTCCTCATTTCTACACTTGCAAGCAGGGCCTAAAACTAACTTTCACATCTGCCAGTGGCCATAAATTTTTTTCCTTGCCATTAAACTGTTTTTGCAAAAAAACGGGCAGTTGCTACTACTACAACAACTAAACATATTTAATAAAAAAAGCCATTTGAAATTAGAACCAACCACTGCATTTTAAATCACGACACAAACAAAGATACAAAGATAAAACCTGCATGAAACAAAAACAGACAGGCTGAATGAGAACGCAAATTCACTCTCTGACAGCAGGTGGTGGTTATGGATCAGCAATGATAAGAGGGGAAAAAATGCCATCGAAACTTTTGTGAAGTCAGTTCCCTTCAGAAATACATTCATATAAACCCCAACCCCAATATTTATATTTTTCTTCCGAACAGTGAGCTTGCTGTACCTGTACAGT